TAAAAAGCGAAAGCGAATTCAAGCGATGCGGCGTCGACCCCTCGCTCGTCCACGGAAGTTCGAACCGCCCCGCTACGCTACGCACCCGACGTCCACCTATGTCTGTCGTTATAATTCAGGATATATGTAGGCGCGATGGGGAATTCATCTCGGCTACGCTTTACACCAACGAAAAAATTCAAAAAAAAGGCGAGTGATTGATTGCGTTCATTTCATCTCGGGTCGGCTACACCCTCTTTTTATTTTCTTCGCCTTCGCCGTCTCGAGTACCCTCTCATTGCCACTGGTCACTGGTCACTGGGATCTTCCACACCGCGTCAGCTCTGTATCAAGTGCGCTTGCAGTGCACTCCGGATTCGGAGCCCTCTTCCCTCTCTCTCCCGCATCCGCATCTCTCTCACACCCCGGGCCCCTCGCTACGCTACGCACCCGACGTCTACGCCGCCGCCGTTGTCGTTATAATTCAGGGCATACGCGCGATGGGGAATTCATCTCGGCTCGGCTACGTCCGTTAGCGCTAGCGGCTTGACACCAACACCTCCCCCAGGCCCCCGGACACTACCTATAATACCTGTCCGCTTTTTTCCAGAAAATTTTGCTGATTTACTCTATGAAATCTGGCTCTGGGCTGTTGTTTTACTCTATTTCGGACAAAGTTTTTGGCGTAAAACACCATTTTCCCCCCCAGAACCCGTTTTTTTTTTCAGCATGCCACAGGCGCTTTTTTTGCACCCCGCGCACACCCGGGCCTGATTGGGCGGTGCTTGAATCCGAACGATAGCCTTCCACAATACCAAAATTATGCCGCCGCCCCATAGTGGTTCAAAAAAAGTTTCTTGAGCTTCCTTGTTTTACTCTATGTAGGACCGACAAGGCTGCTCTCAGAGCTGATTTACTCTATATTGCGGACGCAGGAAGGGCCATTTTGGGCCACTGATTTACTCTATCGCGGACAGGTATTATAGGTAGTGTCCGGGGGCCTCCTCCCCCCAATAAAAATAAAAATAAAAGGCGAGTGATTGATTGCGTTCATCTCATCTCGGGTCGGCTACATATACCCATTGTTTTCTTCGCCGTCGGTGCGCTACGTCCGTCAACTTTTTCTTGTTCTGAAATCCGGATTCCGGAAACCCTGGTCCCTGGAATGCAACGCTGCTGAATTGAACTGGCCATAACGGAAGGACCCAGGAAGGACCAAGGAAGGAAAAAAATCGTTCCAGGTACTACAGGTACAGGGCGCCTCTGAATCATCCGTCCATCCGTCCATCCATCCCGGGCCATTCAAGTCTCAACTCAGCTCAACTCAACTACGAAATGGATTAGAATCGCACTCTCGCACGCGCTGGTTGAACGGGCACAGATCTATGTAACCGCTCGTTCAACCGTTTTGTTTCTCTGTGCCTAACGCGTTTGTTCACTTTATCGCGTCGTTCCCTCACCCACTCTGTCCCGTCGTTACAGTCTTCGTTACGAGGGGCTGCTTATGAGCCTAGGCCTGTTACCCTGCGATATCGACGTTACGCCCAAGGGCCGAAAGTCCTGTAAAACCATATATATATAGGTTGTCAAGAGAAATTCATTCCGGGTGCGGTGCTTTTCTCTCATTCCGGGTGCGATGTTCTGCGGGTGCGATTCCGTGACTTTCCGTCTGCGGGTGTGCGCGAAAACTTGAAACATACTATATATACTTATCATGGTAACCCAGAGCTAAATTCTACGTACATATCGGATTCAAGTTGGTGGACATGCGAGTTGGTGATAGCGACTACGAGCGCCTCGGATTGATTATGTATGTGTGTACCATTGGTTCAGCGGCGCAGAACGAAATACATGTATATCATAAGGAGTCGTTTGAACGAACGCGGGCAAGGTACTGTAGAGAAAAAAAAGTCACAACTTTTAGGAGAGAATTTTAGATAGAGCGAGGGTTAAAATCACCAGGGTACGCATACTTAGAACGAAAACGAGAACGAGCGAAACAGGGCAAAAGAAAAGAAAAGCCAGCCTGGGGCACGTTATACCACCGCTGCGCTTCACATCCATAGTAAGTAGAATAGATCTATGTAACCTGTCGTAATTATCCTCGTCTAACTTCTGTGTCCCGCAAGCAAGCGAGCGAGCGACGTCGCACCGGGCGCCGGAGGAACAGAACAGTAACGGAATGAATGAATGAATTGAGTATAAACGGGGAGATACCCTCCTTCGCCGCCGGGCAGGCAGTCGGGGGCCCTGGGATGATATCACGAGTTGAGAACAACTTGAACTTCACGTTCAATCTCAAGTTGTGCTGAGGCCGGCCCATGGACCCTGACGTCGCGATCCTACCTTTCATGCTGGTGGTGGGCACAGAGAAATTCGTTTGGGAGGAACCGGCAGAGGCTAGTCGCACGCATGCGCAAAAGGGTTCAGAGGAGGGTGGAGTCACACAATGACCCTGGTGGACCCACATGGACCCCCATCATTCATTCTTGGCCGTATGTGGATCATTTGATCTGAAGCTTTCTGTAACTTTCAAATTTTGACTCGGAGCGCCGATGACGTTCGAATTGGTTGGATTCATGCATCGGAGAACAATGAATCTATGGAGGATTCATCCGCCGGATCCGCCAGATCCGGCGGATGAAGTCCTTCACGAGCCGCCCATGCCTTCACGATTACAGTTTTCTCGTTCACGACCGGTGAAAGCCTGAACCTCTTTTCAAGTCGTGAAGGATTATGGCAGCCGTTCATGTACCCAGAGATCCTTCACGGTAGACGGACGAGTCGTTCACGATCGGGATACACCTTCAAGAAGAGCCCGACTCTTAAGGACCGTGCCCTTCATTCACGACTACACACCTCGTTCACGAGAGCAAGCACCACTCAGGTGTCTGCAGCACGTTCACGAGCCATTATACCCTAAGTCATGGTTCTGGACACCTTCGCGACCAGTCCCTACACGTTCAGGTATCCTTCACGGATCACTCACCTTCAGGACACTTCGGCCCTTTCACGGAAACTTCAATCTTTCCTTCACGACTCGTTGATCTGGACCCACAGTCACACAGGTCGTCTCCCTTGCCATGCCTCGTCGCACCCTCTTGGTCATGAGCGCCTCCTCGAGCCTTTGGCACAAACTTCCATCGATATGTGAGTATGAGCACGGCTCCTCACGCAAGTCAGGACAAAAGAGGGTATCGTTGAAGTAGGGATATACATGTATGTAAGTTGTTGACCGTCTTTCGATGGTGTCGATTTCTTTGCGACGTGTGCGCGCCCGCCCAGACCTCCATCGAGAGGTGTGGGCAAGTGCGAGCATACCTACTCACCCCCTGAAGACGCTACTTAACCGGCCGCACGACAGCACACCCCCGTCGCGCTGAAAGCCATCGACATCCTCAGCACCAAGTTTGATGCCCGCGCAATCCACTTCGCAGGTGAGTCGCTGCCACTGGGAGTGTTGATTCTCTAACACCCTTGATGTTATTGTCCTTCACACTGATTCCGCTGAGCACACATCGTACGTCCAGACACCCCCGCCCGACGATGTGCACACCCCGACTCCGCCGACTGTTCCGCGCGGGTAGACAGCACCTTTCACCATTAATAAGCTTTACTCGTCTGGACCAATGCTAATACCCGGCATACTGACATCAGCTCCGAGTCCTCGTCAGTGATTCTCGGCCATCAGCTGCGTTCAGAAGCAGACGGACGCGTGAATTCAGAGCACCTTTTCATCACAGTGGGAGACGGAGGAAGCTTCATTTGGGTGGGCTCTGCCACCATTTGTATGGCTCTTTAACGCGGTATGCGGCATCTCTTCTGTTGACTCAAACGTTCAAAACTGCATTATGTTGACATTTCATCAGTACGCACTAATTAGATTACCATCGCATTTCTTGGCGGATCGACAGAGATCGACGGGCGGTTTGAAGTTGGAGTAGGACGACGTTGTGTATCCTCGATTCGTGCATATGTGAATGCCAGGCTGGTGTCCAAACTGAAGTATTTGCTGAGGCACTGAGATTTATGTGTAAGAAAAATGACGAGTAGATAAGAAAACAAGGGCCGACCTTTTGGAACCAAAGCCTTGTAAAGCAGTGTTTGATTTATTCTGCGACATGAAAGGTATTGTCATAAAGTGGATTGAGCAATTGTATCCTCAAAAAACAGAACGGGCATGGTTCCGAGTGATTCAGGTAAATTGTAATCGTACGCCTCAGGGATAATTTCGAGGTCCATCGCGGTAAAGATGCAGAAGAAGAATTCGTCACATTTCAAGTTGAAGTTATATATCGATACACGGCGGCTGTTTAAGGGAAGACGACGACCTGAATGATGTGCGATGGCACTTAGGAAATAAACTAATCATTGTCAGAACATCGACGGACATAGTGGTCAATTATTTTGAGTTGAGTGCGACGTGGATGGACCTGAATGAATGTGGTGGACGTTAAGGACAAGGCTGGTCTTGAAGGTAAGAGCCGCTTCTTCAGTTTGCCCGAGATCGTTCACGTTTATGGACAACCAACCTGAAGGTAGTGATCTATCTTGAACGGCAGGGAGGATCGTTCACGTATCTCACGACTCATGCTTCACGTTGCGAAACATCTTGAAGTTGGGGAGGATCGTTAAGGAGATGAATGCTCCGGCCATCCTCGTGAAAGGATGTTCAGTCCCATCGGTACGTGAAGGACAGAGATAGACTACCGTGAAGGGGAACGAGACACGTTCACGTCGTCCGGGTGTCGTGAGCGACAACAGGCATCTCCTTCACGGGTTCGTACGCCGGATCCGCCGGATGGATCTGCCGTACATTGGGTCTTCATATGCATCGGCACGAGTCGATTGAATTTCTTGCAAATGATTTATCTTCGTGGTTCCCAGGGTTTCTTCGAAAGAGCGAATCCCCCGCCAAAAAATACATATAGAAGTCAACCTGCAACACCGCCGGCCGGGAGTATCGTAAAATAGCAGGTAGGATGCGGGAAAAAAATAAGAAAATTGACAAAGAAAAAGAATGCATTAAGGGGGAATCGAACCCCCGGCGGGTCGAACCCGCGAATTACAAAGCAAGTGGCAACGACCCAGGTTACCACTACCCCATTAATGCTATAGTAACCACTGGCGTGTGAGCAGTAGTAATAGGAAGCAAAAAAAGAAAAAACGAAAAATGCACTAAGTCCAAAAGTCCAACAATCTCAATAGTTTTCAGCCTGACTCGAAGGCAAAAAGTCGAAACGACCAAGGATACCACTACCTAATTAATGCACTGCTCATGATGAGTGGAGAAGCAAGTGTGAATGGGGGCGGAGCAGAAGGGATGTTCATGGCTGCCACCTATAGCATAGTTCAGTTTGTGGCTCATGCGATAAATATGGGGCAAACAACGACCGAGAATACCACTACCTCATTAATGCTTATTCGACTATAGGAGTAGACGAGATACGGCCTGATATACACCGTGGCCGACTGCCGCGGTGAAAGTTCAACTCTATTTCGGGATGGAATGGAGATCCTTAACATGACTCACTATCGAACGTTTGCCTGACTATCATCAGTAACCTTATCATGCGTCTAGATTCTCCTCCCATGGCCGTAAGAATCGGGCTCGCCCTTCTGCCGGGTGGATCCTGGAAGGACTATGTAAATATAAACGCGGCTGGTCCGCTATCCTGCTTATCTGCAAATAAAACGGTAGCGTGAATCCAATGCCTGTACCCACATAAGTAATTATGCGCACTAGTACTCCACCCACCGTGATCTCTTTCGGATTGCTTGGGTCCAGCGCTAGTATGCCCGCTTATTTTAAGCACCGTTATCTCTTCAATTGCACCGTTCAACCATCATGGAACTTATCCCTGATTGTATTCACATCCGCGCCGGCCGCACAACCACATTTTTTGCTAAACCCATGGATGAGTATCGAATTTTGAACCATAATCCATCCAACGCGATATTCAGCCGATGTCTTCACCTCCAATCCTTCACACGACTCGCACAATGCATCCTCCCATTGAGTCAACACCAGATATGTGGCCACATACATGCGAGCGTTTGAATCGTAAATCTCATCGGCATGGCGTTTATTTCGTTTCGTAACAAGTAGGCGGAAGCAAGTGAGCGTCGATCAAGATCGGCCGCTTGCGCGTACAGGTTCACTTTTTTGCGTCATCTGAACTACGTGTAAGCAGCGCCGGCTAGAGCGCGACCGCTTGCTCGGGGTATGAAGATTATCACAGTAAAGTGATATCAGGGACGGCACATCAGGCCGGTGAATATTCGGTGTTCAGAATAGAGAAACAAGGACACTTGTCCTCGTCCTTGTTTTTCTCATTGCCCCCTTGTTCTGTTTATTCCCCCTTGAACGTCGCGTTCGAGTATTCACGTGTGCCGTACCTCGCTCGAACAGCAGTAGTAACGTTCAACAGCAGTTTCGATCGCGATAGATTGGGAGTTCTACTTATCCCATTCACATCGGTTCACATTCACATTCCCCAATACACGCACTACTCAGCACTCAAGATCACTGTGAGTGTCAAAGATAATGACTTTCACACCCTCGCGTATATGAAATTCAAACTCCAAATCACTGAGTTTCACATACTTTTTGTAAGATTTCATGCACTTTTCCATGAAAGTCATGGACTAGGCGCGGATCGAAATCCTAAGAAACAGTTTTCGTGCACTCGGTTCACATACTTCTTGAAAGATTTCATGCGCTTTTTGTGAATTTCATAATTTTGCCTATGAAATTCATTAGATTTGACACCCACAGTGAGATCGAGTCAGTTCTTCACTCATCCACAGCCGCCGTGCCCGGTGCGTCATCCTCACTTGCTCGGGTAGACCACTCGCTACGTAGTGTGGCCATCGAATCTCTGAATTCTGACTCACATAAACTTCAATCTGAGATTGTGTTCGCGACTCGGTTGATACGAATTACGCTGACAGCGAGCGCTCCAGGGTCTTCTCTCAATCGTCAATATTGTCTACTCACTCACCTCTGAACCTGGCCGCTGTGATAGGCTGCAATCATATAAATAATAATTTCCACTGAATGTTGTTGAACCCGAATCGCGGGTTTATTGTCCGTTCCAAATTATTCCCTGAGACACTCGAGATCGACTCAACTCTCTTCGCCTCAAGTACGGATGTGATTCGAGTTCTAGAACCTACTAGCACCCACTTGCCTCAATCACCAACCATTGGCTCACCCGCTGCGCCGCCGACTCAACTCGATCCCGATTCACGCCCTTCCTTCGGCTGATCTCGATTCACAGCCCTGGACTTAAGCGCCAACGCAAACAGCAGGCGCCTGGATTGGGCGCGCCTATCTGTGCATTGTAATCTGTGGCCACCACTAAACACTCGCTAACGCCGATAGATATTATTATTGTTGATCAGAATGAAGATTCGAACGATAGCTGGGTCGGTGGGTCTCATCATCATTATACAATATTCAGATTCGATGTGAATTATATCGATTTCGCCCGGTATGAACTAGGTTGTTCCTCTCGACGTTGAGTTGACATACTCGCTGCACCAATTTAAATACTCACAGATGATTGACGGCCGGAGAGAGGGATGGTTTTTATCTCTAGACAAGCGAGGTCGAAATACAAGGAACGCCCCCCCTGACATGAGATTGATTGATCAAGAATCCGACTGCACGCGCCCCGCGCCACTGCTACCAGTCTATCGCGGCCCATGATCCCGAGAGGTCTCAAAGCGGATACTAGAATGATGGAGGTCCATGTGGGTCCACCAGTATCCACCCTCGCCTGAATCTTCGCGTCTATCTCCACCGGTCCCCAAAAACTCTTCTCCAGCAGTAGCGGCTAGAGTCTAGCTTGCATGAAGTCAACACAATACATCCAATAATTGATGGTAATCTATGGGGTCCATGTGCCCGCCTTTCAGCTTGACCTCCACCCTTCTCGTAATCGCAATCCAGGTCCCCGAGCGTCCGACTCTCCGGCGACCGAGGAGGGTATCTTTCATTTGTCATTGGTCTGCTGTTCCTTCCGGTGCGACATCGATTGATTGAAGATTCTGTGTCCCTGCATTTTAATCAAAGCTTGCTGACGGTCGGCTGGAGGACATGCAATGCGCTACTGTTAGCGGAAACCGCGCGCGACTAACCAAAAGGTTCTTTGCAGAACCGCAGGATCCGGTTTCATCGGTCCGAATGTGCACTTGCGTCGTGCGAGTCGGAAAAATGGTGTTGAAAGAAGGCAGAAGAAACGCCCTAGACTGCAAGAAAAGAGACTACGTTTTCATTTTCAAGCATATAATTGGACGAACGAACACCAGAAAATACAAGGACCCACAACACAAGGTCGATCGATTCCTCTCCCTGGTTGTGCGTTGTCATCAGAGGCAAGTCACTATCTAATCACATCGCAGCGGCTCCGGAGCATGAATTGCTTCGCGTTCGAAGCAGGTTCGCTATCAGATTGAGTATAAACAGGCGCGGGAAGCGGGCGTTGCATGTGGTCGCAGAATTAGCATGAACTTCCCGCTCGAACCCGCGCAGTTGACCTAAAGAAATACGAGTGTTAATGGCGGGTATGAATCACGCACGAGATGTGGTAGCTGAACATAAGAGAAAGATGAAAACATATCTTCTGGTTCGCCTTGGCTACGGTGGGTCACGAGAAGGCCCAGCCATGGGCTCTCTATCAAATCACATCGAAACGGCTCCGCACGGATTGGCCTGGGTTCGGAGAGGTGCCGTGGGATTGAGGTTGAGGTTGAACGTAAACTAAAACAGAGGCAGGAATTCGAAGTGGGCGTTGCATGTGGTTACACTTCTGGTAGAAACATCCCGTAGTTCTTCCCGAAGAACAGGTTGAAGCGACAGTCGACCACAGTGATTAAGGATGGAGACAGCTGCAATTTTTAAGCAAGAGTGTATTCGGGCGGCCCGCCTGAAAAGAGCATCGAAATGCATCGATCATGATCGCGTTCGAGAAGGACTACGTACTAGTAGATGAAGGAACGAGTGGCGTACGGGTCTGGCCAGTGCGAATAGATCCGCGCGCGAAGGGAAGGGAAGGCGCGAAGCAGACACTGATTCCAGTTGAATCAGGTACATGACGCCATTCCAGCTGGAGCACGCAGGGCACAAAGCAAGGGAAACTATGGGTGCACGTTGCGCAAGAGAGTGCTGTCACCGTCCGAGGAGCAGGAATTAGATGAAAGTTCGAAAGGATTAATGTGAGGGGAATTGATCAGTGGTACGATAGTAGAGACGACTGTGAGAAGTCTGAGTGAACGAATTCAATATTCAAGGGTCGATTTATTGGACCTCAGAACGCTAGAGCTGACAGACAGAGAATTTCTGGGGGGTAAAAAAGCAGGTTGAGGCTTCACAGGTTCCTCGTTCCTGCGTAGAACATAGATAATACGGCGCGGAGTCCGCGTTCCCGAAAATATTATCCAGAAGCAGCTATTTTGCGACGTACGGAGAGAAAGCCTAGTCGAAGGAACGTAACAGCGTCCAGCTGAGGTCCACGGTATTCACCACCTCGCGGCGACAGGAAATAGATTTCGTCCCAGAATATTTCAGTTCCGTGCACTCAGGATGCATAATACAACTCGCGAGGTGCTTCGATCTTCAACCCTCCTCGTGTGCAGGCGATTCGTTTTCGTGCATTATTCAAGAGTTAACCTTCTCTTTGAGATTGCCAAATTGAATATTAACTCCTAGGCGTTGAGACGACCATGAGGCTGGATATTACGCACGTAGTCTCGGTCTCAGCTTCGGTTTCTGGTTCGACCAGAGAGATCCGCAAATAGGTGGTTTTGGGGAACCAGAATATTTGCCAGGACAGCAGCGTTGATTTTCTGGAGTCTGTTGGTCCGGAGACGGATTCTGAACAAATCAATAGCAGATACCGCTGCAAGTTCGCCGCATGTTGATCCACTTATTAATCGTGCGCGCCACTCCTTGAGAACTTCAATGGCTCAATGTCGTGCTCGCGGCCGATTGGACCGTCAGGCGTCGTCGGCCGCGGTCGTCTGAGGATGCGGCGCTCACGAACGTAGCCGCGTGCCGTGTCTGACAAAATTGCCCGGACGGCGTTACGAGATGAACAATGGACTCAC